AGAGACAGGAGCCGGTCGTCCCAGGGCTACTGAACCCGAGATGAGACAGAGTACATGTGAGGGACTGAATTCTCAACTGAGAACCTGGAGAAGCTCCACAGCCACAGGGGGCCAGGGAGTACAGTACTGGGTGGCACAGCCCTCATGGTGTCACAGAGGCCAGCTCTCTGGCTCCTGGTGGCCAGGAGCTCACCCTACTCTGGGGCACAGCATGTGTGGGCCAGGAACCCCTCATCCTCAAAGGCACTTCATCTCAGTCCTAGATCCAAGCTTATCTGTGTCATCCTGGGATGACATCCTCAGCAGCAAATAGACCCCCACCCCCACCCCGTGTACACTGGACCTGGGGCCTGATCCCTCGCACCAGAAAAACCCACCAAAAAATGTGACACCCCGATAGAAAGCAAGCCCGGCCAGGAATCCCTTCCTTTGATGCTTTATTTCCTTCACAGTTTACACCGCTTGCGTTTACTCTATGTGCTCTTTGTTGGTCTTTACGCCTTCTCATGCAAAACTCCTCACACAAGAACCTAATTTCTACCGTCAGGAGGCACATGGGTCTTTTTCTGTTATGGGACAGGGTCTCACTAAGTCACTCAGTTGCCCTGGCTGGGCTCTAACTTGGGATGCTTCTACCTCAGCCTCCCAGAGGGCTAGGACGGCAGGTGTCACCACACCAGGCCAGCACATCTGTCAGTCTATGCAGAACATAGTGTACTTGGGATCTCGCACCAGGTGATAGACAGTAAGTGCTTGACAGCGTCCTGTGAAAACTGCACTCACGGCCACCCAAAAAATACCCTCTGGTCGCGCTCCCAGACTGGCAGCCTAGCAGTACCAGGGCACCAACGGCTGTGTGTCCATGGGGCCATGGGCCACCTGCCCATCACCGAAGATCCCGGGAGGAGACAGCGGGACAGAATCAAGTTCCACTGGGCTGAGGAGCACCAGAGGGACGCAGGGTTGCTCGGGTCGGAATAGGCTGCGTTGACCGAGGGCTGCTGACCTTGTTAAAGCGGTCGTGGGGCACGTACTGCAGCACGATGGGCTCCATGGTGATCACGTTGGCGAACTGCACCTCGGGGATGTAGAGGGCACACACCACGTGCGCCCAGCCTGGGCAGTGCAGGGCTGGCCTCAGTGACCCGCCCGGCCACAGCACTCCACCCCTGGGGCAAACTGCTCCTGTCCCCCGCAGGCAGGGGTTCCCAGGGACCCCTCCAACCCCACCTCCCTAGACCTTGCTCAAGGTGGCAGGGGCCCAGCCCCTCACCTCCATTGTCGGTCCTCTTCAATGCCCCATCTTTGTGCGGACACAGCTCACACCTCTGCCAAAGCAAAGAGCACAGGGACTGGATTGGGGACGAGCAGGATGAGCATCCCCAAGATATCAGAGGGCCCCACGTATAGTAATGGAGGCAGGGGAGATTGGCCCGGGCTGAGAGCTCAAGAAGCTCCAGTGGTGACAGAAGCCAATTTGAGATCTCTCTACTTCAGCAGCTTTGAAAACTTCCAATAAAAAAGTTCAAACAAAGAACCGCAATGGCCAGGGCAGGAGGAGGGATGCTCCTGCCCTGAAGACGGGGTTGACAACAGGTACGCAGGCACAGGAAGTCTTGGGCTGGGCGGGTGACAGCCGAGTCCCCCCCCAGCTTCAGGCAGGCCTTCCCCTGCCCCCACAGGAACCACTCAGGTCAATGGGGGAGGGGAGTGGCGCAGAACTCACCACCCTGGCTGCTCGCTCCTGAGATTCACACTTCCGGCAGAACCAGGGTCCTGTTGGCACCTGGACGATGCCATAGCAAGCTAGGAGTGAGGGAGGAGTCGGAAGCAAAGCTGTCAGCCAGCGCTTTTTCCCAGAGGAATGGGGGTTAAGGAAGTGGATCTAAAGGAATAGAGCTATGTGTGCCTGTAATCCAGCCTGTGAAGCCAGTACTCGGGAGGCTGAGACAGGGAGGATGGCCAGCCTGTGTAACACAGAGTCCAGAGCCAGCCCGAAATACAAAGCAAGACCCTGTCTCAATAAATACATGAAACTGAAAATCTAGAGTCAGTTCCAGCACGGGTGGGGGCTGCTTCCCTACCCGTGCGAGGTCACATGCTAAGACATCAGGATCACTAACAACGCCCAACCGCAAAAGGCCAGCCCCCAGCGACACTACTACTCAACTCCAAACCCTAGAAGTCTTGAGTCCTTGACCTTAAACTTCTAGATCTTCCCCCCATGCGCCTTTTTCTGGACCTGGTTCCGATTCCCGCCCCGAGCTGTCTACCCCGGACTCGGCACCCTCAGAACGGAGAAACACCACTTGTCAACGTCAAACACGTTTTGTTGTTATGGGGGGTGGCGCCTCTTAAAGGGCCAGTAAGGGACCGGGCAGGGAAGTCGGGGTCCAGGAGTCTCCCGTTCTGCCTCTTTAACTATCACAGGTGCAGGTCAAAAGTCAAGAACCCGGGCAGGTGCGGCGCAGGTCCCCGAGAGGCGCGTGGCAGGAAGAGCGGGCAGCCCCACTTTGAGAGCTGTCCCGGAAAGGGGGAGTCCGGAGAGCCCTGCCAGGCGGGCGGGAGATGCCAGCCTGCGCCCTGGGCAAGATTCCTCAAGGAGTTAACTCCGAGCCATGTGCTGCCGGGGGAAACTCCGCGCCTCCTCCCCGCGCTCCGGCCCCCCGCGCGCCCGCGCCCGGGTCCCGGCTCCTCCCCGAGGGCGCCCGGAGTCCGTGCTCCCCCGGGACCCGCTCCTCCCGCCCCAGCGCGCTCCTCCCAGCCTCCGGAAGCGCGGGGGGATGACCCCCCCTTGACCTCTTCCTCCCCGAGCCGGGACCAAAATAACCGGGCGGGAGGGGACGCCGCGCAGGTAAACATCGCCCCGACACCCGCGGCGCCGGGCGCAGGGAGTTCGCCGCCCGCTCCCCGGACTCTCCCCAAACTCCCTCAACTTGGGGTGGGGGGCGCAGGACGGGAACAATAGGCGAGAAAACAATGCCTGACCCGGTCCTACAGGACCCGGCGGGGGGAGCCCCGCGCCGCACGCCCGGCCAGGTGTGGGGGAGGGGCGCGCGCCCCAGGAGGCTCGGGAGGGCGCGGCCGGGGGCGCCCCGCGCGTGCACCACCCCGGGGCCCCGTACCTTGGTGGACGGCCACGCTGCACGCGTGCCCATCGCAGTAGACCAGCGGGTTCTCGGCCCAGCCCCTCTCGTCCGAGCACACGCAGCAGCCTCCTACCATCTCCTTCATGCTCCCATGAACTCG